AAAATATTTTTAAATATATTTTTAAAATATTAAATTTTATTTAAATTGTTATTCCACAATTTACAAAAAAATATTTATTATATTGTTTTTACAATTATTAAAATCTTTACAATTATGACTAATAAAAAAACATGAATATATAATTCTATTAAATGAAATATAAAAGATTCTTTTCTTAAATTTAAATTTAATAAAATATAATTAAATAATAATTTTAATTATGAAAAAATTAAAAATAATTAAATAATTAATTAAAATATTATTTAAATGAATATAGCAATAGATCAATATACTATTTTAAACTGAATAAATACGTGTTCTAACAAAAATTATATATAAAAGTAAATTTTTAAAAAAATTTTACACAGAAAATATTCTTCTAAAGAATACATTTTATTGATTAAAAAATGTTTCTATTTTTTAAATTAAATTAATTCTTAAATACTTTTAAATTTTTAAATTATTTTGATAATATTTTTAATTTCTTCTTTTTTAAAACAAAGATAAAATTTTTATATCAAAATAGAATAATGAATCTTTACAAAAAAATTAAACTTCCTAAAAAAATAAAAACCTAAAATTTGTATATAAAAAATAAAAAAGTATTGTAATAATAGATAAACCACTCATAAAAAATTTTTACTTTATATTTATTGCACCAATTAATAAACAATAATAATATCAATTCATCTTTGAAGTGCCCTACTACTAAATGTTCAAAAAATCTTTATAATTGATATATAATTAATCTCTTTACAAATGCAAGTTGTAACAGTGTTGTGATCCTACATGTGATATACAATTTGTGTCTAGAATAGGAGGCCATTTTACGCTTATGTAAGTGTCAAGTTACAATATAACAAACTACCTTATGAGATAAGAGACTGGATAATTTTCATTACTAGTTTGTAAAAATGTTATTTGTTATTTAATTTTTCATAAATCCTTTTGTATAAAAATATTAAGTTTTTTTTAAATAATTTTTATAATCTGACAATTGTTGGAAAATTATTCATTACTTTTATATTAAAATTATAAATATTTTATATTAACATATTTTTATATTCTTATATAATAATATCAATTACTGTATAATATTAAAATTATTTGTCAAAATGATATAATTTCATCATTTTAATAAAAATAGTATTTTTATATATTTTGTATGCTGATATATGTGAGAAACAGAAAGAGAGAGAATGTGTGTAATTTATACATATGAAATTTTAATATGTGAAATATATTAAATCAGAAGATTTTCATCATATATTAAAATGATTATTTTTTTAATGTTATTTACATTATTAAAATTTAGATTTGAAGAATTAAATATATTCAAATCATTAATAGCACATTATCATGGAAAAAAATGCATAAAATATAATGTAAATAATTATACTTACACAAGCATGAAATGTCTCACTATTTGTTTAGGAATAACATAGATAAATGTTTAATGTGCCAAATACTTGTATTATCAATATAAAATGTTTACAAAGATTAATTTACATAAATTAATCTTTTAAAATTATTCAGATAAATTAATATTTATATACACTTCAATATATGTACAATAACAAATAATATTTTAATTGAATTGATGAATATTGTTTGAGATGATAGTATACAATAAACTACTATTTTTATCAATGAATGTCAGATGAAAAATTGTCATACAAAATTAAATGAATAATTGCATAATAATAAAAATTTAAGATAATTTAAATAAAGTGTAGAGATTACTTCTTTATAAACTATTTCTCTGAAAATTTTATGAAATGTAATATTATATATGTATTTAAATATAAAATTGTATCTTTACTAAAATTTAAATGATCTACAGAATGAAAAATTAGAATAAAAAAAAAATAAAAAGATTTCAATAAAATTATTTGAGTTATATATATTTCTCTTTAATTAATAATATTCAAATCAAATATAGCAATAATTTTTATCAAAAATCTTTTTCCTTAGATTTTAAATAAATCTTTATTATATAATTTTTGATAGCAATAAAATTGTATTCATAATATCATTATAAAATTATTGCAATAATTAATTTGTATATATAACCAACTTTTCCCCAAAAAAATTATAAACAAAAATAAAAATCAGAAAATACTTTTTTTTTATATTTATATTTTGTATATATCTCAATAATCTTAAAAATAAATGAATAAAATCATAAGCAATTTAGATTAATCTTTTTCTTTTAATCATTACTTTATAAAAAAATATATATACTTTATGTATATACTTTATGTATGTATATTTTCTTGTAATTATATTTTTTTTATTATAACAATATTAAAAATTAATCAATGATTATTACATTTAATGAGGATGAAAAACTGCATTATTAAATTAAAATAATTTTTATTATTATAACATTGTAATTTTTATATTCTGATTCTATACATTTTAATATAGATTCCTTAGTAGGAATCATTTGTATTAGTATTATCGTCATGGTAATGTTATGTTTCGGTAAATTATCATAAAAATTCTCTTTTGGAAAAAGTAGTAGAAATGAGATGGAAAAACAAATAAAAATTTTATTTTACAATAGAATATCCATCATTTGTTCTCTTATTGCTTCCATTCAAATTAGACTTTTTCCAATAGTTCTTTCCTGCTGAAAATAGCTAATGAGACAACACTATGTAATTATTAAAGTATTTTTTATTAATGTTTTATGAATAATTTTATTTTTTATTTTTAAAAAGAAAAAAGAAAAAGTTACATTTAATTATATTTAATTTAATAATTTGTTTCTGAACTTCTTCTATCTTTTGATAGAAAATGATAATATACATAGTAGAAAATAAAGTCGCACAAATTCGCATTTCTCATAAATTGAACAGCATTAATTTAAACAATAATATTATAATAATGTTATATATTTTTATAAAGAATAAATGTTATTAAAATGTTTAATTAATCAATTATATATTTAACAACACATTTTTATCTAATATGACATTAATTGTATCACTTATATTACTTACATTTTACATAATACAGAGATAGTAATCTTAACCTTGATAATCAAAATAATCTATTTCTGGTTCTGATGTTTTTATGCTTGATGTGTCTGGTTTTTGAGTTTTTTTCGCAGGCAGTGATAATATTGTCCTAAAAAAAAAGAAAGTAATTAGAAAATTATGATATGATATTTTAATATTTATAATACTCATTTATTTTTTCTTTTTTTTAAAATAATATATATGCTACTTACTTCACAGATCCATCAGTTTTTGTAGTATTTAACATTGGACCTGGAACTTTTCTTTGACCATTTTCTCGTTGTACAATTTCTAATAAACTATAGCTAGGTAACCAACACTATAATTATAAAATCAGGAAATTAATTTGTGAAATTAATTTAATTTTATTGTTTAAATATTATAAAGAAATTACTTTATCTTTTACAGCAGTTGCAACAACATTTCTTTTTGGCTCCTGATCATATGCCTGACTTTCACAACCAAAATGTTCACAAGATTCGTGAATGAAATGACGCTTATCTTTATTCATGCTGTCAAAAGAATAACTGCGTGATTTTTGTTTAGAAATCTTTGCTAACTGAACCAACTCTGTTAATTTTTCATGAACCATTTGACAAAAATGCGGATCCTTTTTAGCCCATTGTTTCATAAAATCACTATATCTAGGCATTAATTTTCCACTTAAATCTGGATTTATAATTTGTAAACCTAATGCCAATCTTCTATTTCGTTCTATTATTTTACATTCATCATTACATTCTAAAGTTTTTAACTGGTTTTGTTTTTTTACTCCTTGACCAAACACTTCTTCCAAATTAATAGAATGCCCTAGTTGCATATCAGCCATTTTACTAGCTAATATACTACTTGCTATTCTTTGATATTCTTTAGAATTTTCGGCACAAACACGAAACATAGTTCTATGTCCACATTGACATGTCACCTGTAAAAAATGATTTTTATCAATAAAATTATAATATAAAAATATTATAAAAATTCGTTATATTTATATTTTAACATACAAACAAATAATAAATCTTATTTTTTTAAACAAATTTAAATAATTACCTTAACCATTTCCTTACAAGGTGTATCTGGACATTTACCCTCATGACATGGAGCAGCACAAATATGTCCACACATTTCCCTTAAAGTAGTGCAAGGTTGAGAACATTGTTGTCCTGGTTTTTCACATGGTCCAGGATGACAAATAGTAATACATTTATGTCGACCACAAGATATGGGTTTATTACATGATAAACCACATGAAATTTCATTAACATGACATGGCACAGCTTTTCGTAATTCGTGTTTACCATGACACCATCTTTGAGTGAGAACAGTACAAGGTGGGCAAGTTATTTCACTATGACAATTATGCAATATTTCATGCCCACAAGAATGCTGGCGAGAACAAGGTTTATCACATACAGGTCTTCTTGTTCCACATGGAACAGGAGGATATATCACTGAAGATCCACATTCACAATATAATTCATCAAAACTACTACGCCAGCAAGGTTGACATCTCCCTATATTAAAATATATTACTTTAAGTTTTTATACACAATAATAGCTCAAAGTTGAATTAGTAATATATATCAAACTATCACGTATTATTTTTTCTTTCCATTACAAACTATTTTAAATTTTTTTAATTACAAAAATTAATTTTGAAATTTGTCTATAATTAACATAATTTAATACCTTTATGACATCTTTGTTCACATTTATGTCTACCACAACTTAAAGTTTTAGAA